GCTTTTCCTGACTTGACTTGCATCACTTTGAACTACACACACCAAAAAGAGAATACCCTTATTGCACATTAAGATGGACCAGACAGTAAACACCAGAGCTTACTATGCTCCCAAAAGTCTCCAAACTGAGCCCCCTAGCATTTTAAACCTTATCTATACAAGTTAATTAGGCATTAATTTTGTGCAAAGCTGCGTTGGTTCAACTGTAAACGTTTTGTTTCTACATGTTGGCAGAAAAGCTGCCTTTACGGTAACAGACCTCTTCCCCTTTCTGTAAGGGATGATTTAATTCCAGATCAGGATGTATACATGCTACTGCAGTGCTCTAATCTTAGTTTTAGAAAGATTCTCATACTCATTAGCTCACTAGACTTAGGCTTGCTCTTTGAAGCAAATTGCTCCCCCCCCTTTTTTTTTTAAGCAGGCAGAAGTTGCAAAACATTTCTCTCTAGTGTTATCATAGGACAGTTTTTGAACTTCCTTTTGCTTCACAGTTGCATAGAGGTAGCCTAAAGCTGCATTTTACTTCAGTCATTTACATAAGGAAAATCTTGAAAGCTTTTTTGCTTCTTTTTAAATCCTAGAAGCTACAGATTTCAGCAGTCCAGCTCTCCCAGTCTCATACAGTGAACTTCTGCCCCAAATCTTATCAGTATACCAACTCCAACAATTCATACAAAGTTTGAGGCTACTGTTTTCATCCTATCTCCATAGCACTGAAAACAAACTATAGCTGTAAATTCTTCCTCTAAATCCAAATTAACTGTTAGAAGCATCAGTTTTGGGACATGGTTACACAGATGTAATTCCCTACTATTCCTTGGAACTAACCTCTCCCATATTAGAAAAACTGTTGAAGCATCAGTTTTATGCTGGGGAAAAATGGAGGAGGAGTATACTTGAAAGTGTCAGGTTTATCTAAAGAAAATCCTATTCTCTTTTCCTGAAGGTACCATTCATCCATGCACTTGGGAAAATAAAAGAAAAAAACACCCACCAAAACAAAACAAACCCAAAAAACTAGCAATGCTGCAAGGCATCTTGTAATTATGAGGTTAACCCCCCCCCCCCCAAAAAAAAAGATGGTCTGAAAGCTGAAGGAGTGCACCTCTGAACAGGCATCAGTCTCCAGGCTACCCAAACTTGGTTATTTCATTCAGTCTGATGTGTTTCAATTTAAGGGTACAGTTTCATAACAATTTACAAATCATCCCTAGCCCCTCTCTGCTTCATTGCACCAGCCTGAAGCTTGTCTGAACCCCTCAGAAAAATACACCTCTGGTAAATAAACACTTCCTCAGCTGGGATGGTTTTCTGCCAATCTACTGGTCTGAAGGAGCTCACCAAAGGTTCAGGTCAGCAGAACTGCAATATCCAAGAATCACTTAGGCTGACGTAAGACTGCACATACAGCAAACATTTACATTCTTTTTCATTCTGATTTTAATATTGGCCTTTTTGGCAACATGAACCAGTAACTGCTCCACACAATCCACCATCTTCTGTGGAGTCAGATAGACAGCAATGCTTAAATACACTAAGTATATATTGTTTTGTATTATTTTACCATTATATCTGCAGATTAAGCTCTTCAGAGCACAACCAGCGAGGAAAAGCAGTAGCAATCCCATGTCCTGAGGGGTAGACGTATAGTATCACCTTCTTTCCTCAATAGCTTCTGGCTCTCCATAGTGTTTTTTACCTTAACCAATACGACTACTTGCACTTTTCAGCCATTAATGCTGGAGTTTGCATAACTTTTGTTGTCCACAATAGTGCACTGCTCTACATGGCTCCCATATGGCAGGATAATTTCTCTGTAACCTAGAAACAGAGTTCATAAGTCTGCAAGGGTAGACTGCAATTCCGTGAGGCACCAGCCTCGCCTTCCCCTGCTTGCATAGCCCTGGCTGCAGAGAAGATTTCAAAAAAGCACTAATGACAAATGTTCAAGATCATTTGCTAAATGGATGCCAATACTGAAACTGTAGTATTACATAGCAATGCCTAGCTATTTGATAGGAGCCCAAAACAAGCAATATGTACTCCAGCATCATCAACATATCCACTAGTAGTAGCTTGAGAAGCAAATTTTCCTTTGGCCCCTGTATAAGAAACCTCTGATTTGCAAGGAACTGATTATGCACAGTGATCACAGAGACACAGATTGTCCAAGGACAGATTCTCCAGGAGACATCTGTGTAACACACAGCATCATTCCCTACTCTTCCTTGGAACTAACCTCTCCCAGTCTTGCCACTTCCTTCCCACCCCATCACCCCCCTGATCTTCATTGTCCCCTTCCACTGACCCAGCTTCAGCTGCCAAAATTTCCTCTGCACATTGACAGCAGCATATAGATGCATAGTGCAAGCTGTGCAGTTGAGCAGAGTTTATTAACAGACTGCTTTATGCCTTGACGTGGACTTCATTAGGCCTTACCCTAAGTAGGTGGAAGCTGTTAACACAGAGAAAACAGCACACGTTACATAAGGAAAACAACCATCTGCCCAGAAAAAAAAGCCTTAATAGACAGCAGCCAACTTACTTGCTAGGAGAAGACAGGCAAACGAAGTGACATGCAGTTGCTTGACAGTGATATCATAGCGATCCATAAAGAGGTCCAATAAATAGACAGCGAGATGCCGGGCCGTAGGGCAGAGATTGAAACAGTTGCTGAGGACAGTCAAGAGATCAATGAAGTATCGGCGCATCCCGATCTGTGGTGAATGAGCCTTATACAGAGGCAACTTAAGTTCCTAAGGGGGGGAAAAAAAAAGTGGGAAGGGGGCAGGGGGAGGAAAGAGAGGTACTGAAACAGATACCATTTCAGTGTCTGGCATCCCAAACCAACACCCACCACCTGCTATGGCAAATGCTTAGCAGCTACAGCACTGTGATTGACACAGAAATCAGAGCTGGATTACTGCATGTTTTGACAGTCGGTCAACTTCCGATACTTCAGTCATCCACACGCTTCTCCTCACAAGCATTAAACACATGGTCAAACGCTAAATTACAGTTAAACCCAGGAACAACTCGCTGTTGCTTTCTACAGAACACTAAACTTCTTGGCCATGAAAATTGTTCCTGAAGGACTCCCTTTTTACTTTTGTTCACCCAAATTGAACTGGTAAGTAAGGTTTTAAGTTTCATAGGCAAGAAGGGCAAGATACATTTCTCTGATGTTACCCCTTCCTCAGTTGCCCAAGTTACTTCAGCCTGGGCCAAAAAATGTGTAGGTCTCCAGAATAAAGAATTATCTATCTAACATTAAAAAAAATTCATACAGCGCATGGCTGCAGCAAGAAACAAAAGTAGACATTAACGAGAAAAGCAACACTGGAGAATGATTAAGCTTTTCTAATTATGGCAAATTCCAGTACTTTCTCTACAAACCTACTTCAGCATTATAAAAGCCAACTATTGAACTGACAGACTGTGTTTCACATGTAATATACAAATTTTCATTTTAAAGGCAGAATTATATAAGTTTTTGGGTTACCTATGCTAGATCTTCACCTGCAAGGGTTTTGCATGCAAGTTTGTAGTCACTATGCAAAGAGTAGGTTAAGGGAAGGAGTGAAGTTCCTTGGGAATACCCACCAACTTACGCCACTTAAAAGTTGACACTTCATCATTCTAGACATAGTTGTATACTAATGCAGTTACCACAGCCAGGCTCAAAACAAAATAGGCATAGATTTAAAAAAAAAAAAAACACCCACCAAAATTTTCAGCAATCTCTCAGTAATTCAGATTCTGTTTATAAGTAATTTTTGTATGACATATTTGAAAATAAATTACAAGTGTTACAGTGCTGCAAGATATGCATACTTTATAGTAGAATACAAAGCAGTACATAGAGCAGTTAATTCTACTAAATAAATCAGGACTTTGAAAAAGCATTCAGAGGAAGTATCTGCACTGGCTACCTTGTTTACAGAAGCAAGAGGCACCACCTTGCACAGCCGGCGCGGTGGCTGCCCACGCTCCTTTCATCCCCTGGAAGGAGACATTCCATGAGGAGGTTTGACTTACCAGGAAAAAAATAGCTACACAATCAGGCTCAGAGGGGTGCACATAACGGGAAAGCAGGGAGGCTCCAGAACGAGAAGCAGCTTACAAAGACAGCAAGCTGAGCACTGTTACGGATGATTGCTTCCCAGGCCTTTTTAAAGAAAGTCAGTGAAAAAACACATTCCGGACTGAACAGACACATGCTGTGGACAGGCAAACAGCCCTTTGAAACCTGGGACAGCCTTCACTGGGGGATTATAAAGAAATTGCCCACCAGTAACAATTTATAAAGCAGGGAGACAATGGAACATGTTCCCCCCCATTGTTTTATACCCAGAAAACCCCCATAAATTTGATTTTTTGACTGCCTTATGTACAGATATTTCAAACCATCAGTACAACTGACTATACACAGGTTCAGAGCAGGAGTTCCTAGTATACCCATAACATGAATGTTCTGGCAGAAATGGTTTCAAGCTCAGTGCTTATGTCAGTTAAAATAACTGCATTTTTCTTAATATGCCTATAAAAGCCCAAGCTATCGTAAGAGCAGGTGGCAATTCTACTTCTGAAATATTTTGTCCTCTAGGTGACTGGTAGGAGCTTCATGTTTTGTTTTTTTTGAAATGTCCTTCCTGTTTCAAAGATATGTTTCCCAGCAAAATTATACTCTCTATATACTCTGAGGTCAGCATATATAATGTAAAATTTGCTTTTTAGACCACAACAAATGCAAGAAATAACTCATTATACATCTAGTAAAAAAATCCAACATGTCTAAATGTTACAGTTCAGTGGGTGAGCATTAGAGAGACTCAGAGATCCAGAAACTTGCATCTGAACCTCAGATGCTCAGAGGCCAGAACCACCCCTACTCGGACCACTGTACTAGAAAATTCAAAGACCAGTCAAAGCACTGAATTTAAGCTAATAGGATTATTCTGCTACTGGTTTAACACAGACATTTACTCCCTGTAAGACTTCTGCTTTTTTTTTTTTAATTAATTTTTGAAAATCGGTTACTAATAAAGAGTGTAAGTGAAAGGCATTCTCATTTTGTGCACCAAAAACCCACGTGGGCTTCTGTATAACGGGACTTAACAGCACAGACCAGGTTCAACTTCAGGACTAATGCTAGGAGGCACAGAGCCATGTGCTGTGGTTTCTTGCAAGATCAGGTTCCTAGGCATTAACTGATCCAGGTAATTCATAGAATCATAGAATGCTTTGGGTTGGAAGGGACCTTTAGAGATCATCCAGCCCAACCCCCTGCCGTGAGCAGGGACAGCTTTAACTGGATGAGGTTGCTCAGAGCCCCGTCCAACCTGACCTTGAAGGTTTCTAGGGATGGGGCCTCCACCACCTCTCTGGGCAACCTGTTCCAGTGCTTCACCACCCTCATTGTAAAAAACTTCTTTCTTGTGTCTAGTCTAAATCTATTCTTCTTTAGTTTAAATCCATTATTCCTTGTCCTGTCACACCAAGAGCAGCGCAAGGCTCTTGCCTATATGTGTATATAGGCAAGAGCCTTGCCCTGCACCACACAGCATGAAGCAGCCAATAGGTAGTTCAATAGGACTGCTTTTACACTGACAAATCAGTCTTAAAGGATGAGATCTTCCTTTAAAGGAAAGCACATAGTTTAACAATGCACAAGCTGAATAGCAGGCTTACAGTTATCAATACGGTTGTGGGTATGCACCCCTTTCCATCACCCCCCCCCCCCCCCCCGCGCCTTTAGCATAAGTTCATCAAGAAAAAAAAAATTACTCCTTTGAATTAAAAAAAATGCCTTTGCTGCTTTGGGAATATTGATGCAGGATCAGAAAAATACAACGCTATGGAAAAACCTGAACTTTTGGGGAGCAAGAATAAAATAAATCGTTTCCATTGCTTAATTTTTTCCTCTGTCTGCAGTAAAGCAACAGAAAAAAAAAAAAACCTGGGAGCCCTGCTGTCTGCTGGAATTGCCCTTTCATATGCTGCTTCTGCTTATCTTTGACCTGTTCATTTGTATCTTCAACAACTTTGCTTTGGGCTGCTGAGCAATTGCCACATTGAAATGCTAAAAGCGGCAGCACATAAGAGGCTCACAGGTGTCTTGGAAATGACTTAACAGGCTTTGCTCAACGTACTGATCAGCATCTCTCCACAGAAAGCCTCCAGAACGGCAGAGCACAGCATTTAAAGGGATCCCCCCTTAATCTCAAAACCTGAAAAGTAAGGCTTGGACTGAGAGTCAGTCTTAAGGGCAAAGACAATTTTTAAGCCGCCACCTCCTACCAGCTTCAAGACCTGACCTTCTAGAAGAAGGGAATCAGCGTAAATGTTTTTACGTGGTGTTAAAGACGACAACTCTTCCTCAGCAATCACATCTGAAGGACAACCAGGCTCCAGACATCAACCGCTCATCACCAGGAACCTGAGCACCTCAGCTGGCGCCATTCGTGACCAGAGCTCAGAAGACAAGATTTCATCAGTGGTTCGGAAGGTTTTGTAACTGGGCTGGGCAAATGCGCTTCAGAATCCATCCCTAAAGGAGATACTAGGCAAACAAGACTTAAATTAAACTCAAGCTTTTGAGCAACCACATGAAGGTCAGGCTTTCACTGCTCATTTGAACTAAATCCGCCGAACAGCGATTGAAGTGGAGAGGAAGAAAACTTGACAGGATCACTTCCCTCCCGCTCCCTTGAGGCAGCACCTGGTGCAGGCCTGTCTGCCCAGCATTTATCTTCATCAGAGTAACACATCAGATGGTTTGGTGTTCAACATGGCAAGAAATTCCACACACATTCTTCCTGTCCAATTTCTTTTCAGTAAAACTGTTCTCCCACTGATATCAAGCCAGTAATGAACTGACAAGCAGTCAGGAGAAAAAAGTTAGCAGTAGAAAAGTTAGCAAGTGATGTGACATTATGGTAATAAGTCACAGTGATAATCATCAGTTCTGAGAACAAAAGAGGAATTCATCAAGGTATTTCAGAACAACTCACAGGCTTTGTGACAAGAAAAATTAAATGCTGTAGCAAATATGCCCCATGTCCTGAAATGCAGGGAGATGTTAACTGAATCTGGTTTTCTACCATGTCAGAGCACTTGGACTTTAGTCAGGATCTGTTCTGTCGCACAGGTCATACATGCAACATCTCCCGACTCCTGCAGCAGCTCCAGTGTTTCCAACTGCCCTCCTCCCTCTCTCAGCACCAGCCACCTCAGCTCCAAAGATAGCCAGCTGCGGCACACAGGCATCTCCAGAGAGCTGCATCCTCTATGGAGAGCCAGGTAAATTACTTTCTTATTCCTGGAGCAAAATGAAACACCAAAACCAGAGCTACTCAGTAACAGTAAAGCCCATTCATCTAGAAACGGCTGTTGCAGTACTTGCCTACACAGATGCAGGCTCCATGTACTACTATGAACTTCATACTTCTCTCATTATCCTTCTTTAATCTTCCTGTCTAGTTCTGTTTCTGGACATGGAAACGGAATCCAGCACATGGCCTCTGCTACCACAGCTCACAGATCTTGACCGTTGATCCCAACCCAAAAATCTGAAAAAAGGTTCCAGCTGATGAACAAAATTACACAGTGAAGGTATATAACTAAAGTTTCAACGAGATCTCCATGATTCTTCTTAATCCAGTGTTAAAGTATATAAACACAAGACACCACTTGTGTGCTGTCTACATAAAGCATTTAAATTTAAAATAAAAAAAAAAGATAAAAAGGAAGAGGCTACTAAGTATTTAAGTTAGAAAACTAGTAAAAAACATGGTAACTCTGGCAATCATTCAGCTCTCTGTATGTTGCATGTTCTAGAAAAATAGCATGTACATGACCTCCACCAGATTCTTAAGAATTCCTGCTGGAAGAATAACAGATACTGCAAACTTGTTGCCATTAGAACAGGAAAAAGAAATGCCTGTAGATGAAAAATAAAGGGAAAGTTTATCTAGCAGGCTATTAACAGTTGTTCTTTAAAAGAGGCAAACCCCTTCCTGTTTTGTGTTCTAACCAGTCTTCCAGCTGTGGAAAAAAGGTGCCAAATTGACCTCCTAGATATAATTATTGCACCACACATGAGAAACCGCTAAAATCTAACTTCTACTTACACAAATGATATATTAAGAAGATGATATACAAAGAAAAATTTAGACTATACTATTTTTTTGTAAGAGCTTGAAAATTCAGAGCACTTTGCATGCTACTTTGCAGTAGAGTAGGTAGCATGCTACCAATTTATTTCTGCTACTAATGCCACGCTATTCTCTCTCCTGCACAGAAACAACTGTGCTGCCCCGCACAGACTGCAGCACTATGCCTTCCAGTAACGACTCGTACAAAACTCGCTGGTGTTTCTATGCCTTGGCAGCTGACTGCCGTTTAATTAATCAGTCAGAAAGGTTAAGAGTTAGTGTGTGCGTGAACAGTCTGATAGTAGAGTACAGCTGATGCATTTGGCTTTTACTAATCTTCAAGTTGGCCATGCAAACTCAAAAGACATATGACAGGGCAGCACTCCTAGGGTATGGCCAGCAGGACATGCGTCCTCGCAGCACGGAAACGCACGGTGAAAGTCTCTGAAACAGTCACACTTGCTTGGTCTGTGCAAGCACAAGCCATGTTGTCTTATAACAGAGACACCAATGATTCTAACTGTTAGACGATGCAGTGAATCCTAGACCATCCCTTACGGCTCTATTACTCCTCTTTTCAGCCCTGCTGTGACCATATCTCAGTCCTGAAAGTTACAGCATTTCCCATTATTTAAGCAACCTTCAGTTCTTTTAGACAAGGCTTAATCAGGCCCTAGAAGTGCCAGTCTTGCACAGTATCTGGATTCGGTACATAGGAGACAAACCTGACAGAAACACATTTCAAAAAGGATGTCAGACAGTTCCTCTCATTATTTCCAGTGAAAATTTAAGATCCAGATACTTTCTAATAAGGAAGGGTACATTGGCAATATACCCTTTATTTTTGCCCTCATTCAACAGCGACCAATCAAGTGGACAGAGCAACAGCTTAAACACACTTGTTACACTGCCCAGATCAGTGCTGCCAGTAGCTACCCTTACCGATTTATGATACATTCCACTCATGCATGAATGAAACACCATAAATTAAGATTTTCTCCCATTACCACTGCAACACTCAAAAGGAGCAGCGAATTCATGTGCATCTCCCACAAAGGACCAGAACTCCAGCCACATAAAACAGAACCTCAAGTTCCAACCTACTCAGTATCTTTGAAAGAGTAAGTGAAACAATCCAGTGTAAGCCAAAGAACAGTAGCACCTACAGTACTACCTACTCAGCTTTCCACCGTTGTGGAGTATTCAGGGCTGCTGAAGCAGAAAGGGCAAATTTTGCGCATACGTTGTGGTAGTTCCATTGAGAGAGGTCTCTGATTTTTGACATGAAAGTCAGCTGCCTGGCACAACCAGCACCTTTCCATTACCAATAACATGGGACCATTGTAGAAGTAGTTGAAGCACCAGAAGATATCAGCACATACACGCAGCACCTTTCTTGGCTTGGCGTGTGCTAGACTCTCCTAGTACAAACAAACACAGTATGCTCCAATTTTTATTTTCCTTCCTGGCTCAGTCTTGCAACAGGTTTAATGTTCTGGCCTAATCCAGGGGAATACTTCAACCTCTCATTTAAAGTCCAAGGATGTGCGTAACACTTTAGAATTCAAGCGTTTTGCTCCACTAGGTCAGCATGCTCAATAACACAATACAGTCCCGCTAAGCTAAACACTACATCCCAATAATCACAGCACAGATATTTTACTAGTCAGACAATTCAGGGGCTATTAATTTCCTCCTCATTGAGCTAGAGCCTTTGGGAAGTCACAAAGCCTCACAGCATCTTTCAGCCCTCTCTGAATTAGAAGCCAGGTACACCACACGCATTCAGTATCTGCATTCATGCAGAACATATCCATCAGATGCAACGCACAACATCTGTCACAAAGGACACCAACTTCCAATGAGGTTAAGAACAACTCCCAAATCCAACTGGGGGGAGGGGAGGGATGGCATAACGTTTTTTCCAGTTGTTAACATAAAACCTGCGTTGTTTCAGAGTAGGCATACATCTCCTATATTTGTGTCTAAATGGTTTAATGGTTGGACTGGATGATCTTAAAGATCTTTTCCAGCCTAAACGATTCCACGATTCTATGAAATTATTTTGCAGAAAAAAAAAGTGTTTCTAATGATCTTTCAGTTGTTTTAAGAAAAGAGTTATGTTATTTAAAAGGGACATTCTATTTCTCACCTTAAACCCAGACTTTAAGTGTGTTCTTCAAAAAAAGTGGGATAGCCTGCAACATGCATTTCAACCTCCTTGACAAGCATCTTGAAGTAACTTTCCTGTCAGATTCACATGCTAAAAAACTAAGACCTGTTTGTTCTCACCCAAGACCAGAGACACACACTGTTCCAGACTAGGACTCCTCAGCAAGTATCTTAAAGCAGAGAGGTCATTTAGGCTTGAGGGTACCATTGCCTGAATTTTCTGTGTATTCCAGTATTAACACACTAGTACACTAATAATGCACTAACACACTAATACTCTAGCGGGGATGTCACTATTGAAGCTTATTTCTTCTATGCAAATGGCCATAGGCATCCCTAAAACTGGTCCGTGCTCACAAAACTGACTTCAATACCTTAAAACTACTCATCTTCCCAAACTTTGCTGAAGGATCCTTTTGAGGAGTTCCACGACGTTCTACAGCAAATTCTGATGCTTTAGACATCAAAAACGCAAACCTTGGCAACATACTAAGAGTTGTTTCTGCAGAACGTTACTTGGGGGGGGGGGGGGATATCACAGAAAGTGAACCAAAGAAGTTTTAGGGGCTGTGATCTTTTTTGCTTGATATACTTGCACTCTGTATTCTCCTGTAGTACTTTCTTCAAAAAGAAAAGTCATCCTTACAAGGTGGGCAGAATTAGGATGAAAGCTGTCCAAGCAGAAAGAGTTGTAGGCCTTCCCCAGAGCAGAAAAAACAGAACAGCTCAGAGACCCTTCTCCCTCTTTGCAGGTTCTTTGAATTCAAACAATTCTTATCATTTCAGGAAGCCTAGGTTAGTATCCACATACAAAGAAGTTTTAGCAATCTAGAGTTGTGAGATGCATCCAGAAAGCAAGCTGAAGAATGAAATAGTTGATTAAAAGGTAGTGGATACAAAAAAAAAAAAGCTTCCCCCCACCTTTTAACACCCTGTCAATTGATTAACTGATTGGATTATCTGTTATTCCTCCCCCCACTGTAAGGCCAGGAAGACCTGCCTCAGCTGGAGGACATGAGAACAAGCCAACCCCCTCGCACAGACCTGATAACAATTAACTCACCTGACATAATTTATTGCTAAATACCTGTAAAGAAAAAGGGAACAGAAAGTCCAAAGCACTAACTTTGCTAGCCATAACTTTAGTAACTTAAAAGCTGTGTCAAGTGCAGGTAGTCAATATTTGCTGAGGGCTCTCTCCCATGTTACTCAACTAACTGCATTTAGAGCTTCTCCGAAGTTGGGAGTCTACTTCAGGAAATGTGAAAAAAAAAAACCAAACAGCCTTAGTTCTACCTGCTCTCTGTACATCAGTTCATCAAACAGCAACCGGACTATAATGCTTGTTGCAGGACATTTTACTGGTTTTCTAATCCACGCATAAACAATACACTAACTTCTAGAAAAGCCATTACGAGCCACGTCTGTGCATCTTTCAGCTCTTCTACAGTCTCCCAGGGAACAGGATCCTGCTTTTTACTCAAACTTTAGCATTTATGTGTTGGAAAAGCAGCAATGCTCTTTCTCCAGATCATACAACAGGCTGACGTTTTGCAGGTCAATACGAGCATCCTCTTAGCATTTAATGCAATGAGTCATCAGCACCCCGGCTAAGTTAAAGCTAACTGAAAAGTTGCAGGCAGATATTTTTAGGCAGCAGGTTTCACAGGTTTGGTTTTGAACAAGTCTCGATCAAAAAGCAGAGCACGGGGAAGAGCTCTGCACAAACCTGCTCCTTTGAGACCTGCCGAAGGCGAGTTTTCCAACAGCAAGGCTCGGGCCGGGCATTTGCACGGCTCTTCCTCCCTGGGCATTTCTGCAGGGGAGGAAAGCGCGCAGGGGAGAGCGAGGAGGAGGAGGAGGGAAAGGAACAAAGTGGGACCCAACCTTCGTCCTCAAGGTCTGGTGGACGTCTGCTGCCAGCTCCCCTTTCCACCACTGCTCCTCCATCCTTCTTCACCCCATCCGGACGCGGGTCTGGAGGAGAGACGAGACGGGGCCGCTCTGCCGGGAGGGAGAACAGACCGGACAAGTCGCCCGCGGCCCCGCGCCTGTTTCCGCCGGCCCTCCCCG